CAGCTGACCCGACCCACAATTCCGTAGATTTTTAAGCTCCGAAAGAAATTCAAAAACTTGACCCAATTTCTATTTAAGCGACTAATGTGCAAAATAATATTTTTTAAAGTTTAAAATTTGATTTATATTTCACACACTAGGGGCTCTACGCAAGTATACATATCACTTTGAGTAATATTAGATTTTATTTTAAGACCCCGGTATCGATCCCACAAAGAAGCAAGGTAAGAAATCCCTTAGCTAATTCTAGTTTACTACTATCGGGCCTTAGTTTGGAATGTCAAATAAAGTGGTTTTTCTAATAACTATTCCTAAACAAAAATCTTAAATATAAAGACAACTTATCTGGATAAATTGGTTTGGAGAATTTTGAGATGTTAAAGAGTAACCTTCTCATGCAATGACCTAGACTATGAGTAGAAATGAAATGCTTAGAATTTAATGTAGCAAGTAACAAATAGAAGCATTCCTATTCTCTACCCCCTCTCGGTGCTTGCAAAGAATATTGGATAATCTAGAGTCTCTCACAAGCTTGTGTAGTAGTGCTGAGTAGATTCTAGACTCTCACTTCCAGATTACCCACTGTGCCCTCTCTATAGGACCTACTAAGGACCCTTACGATCAAAGCTTCAGACTAAATTAATAAAATAATCTAGTATGTCACCCTAGAACATAAATTCTACGCCCATCAAAACTTATCTCCATAATTATTTACACTCCCCTCATGTGATCGCAATGGCTCTGCCCAAGATGAAATGTGGTATTCACTAATTGGTGAAATCATAGCCCTCCTGGGTCATTATGTTTCTCAACGGATTTTAACAATACAAATGATCAGCTTGCAAAGTCAATGAAGATCCAATTAAAATACCATAACATTAAATAAATAAGAGAATATCTAAGCACATCTAATTTCCTAAACATGCATCTATTTCATTGTAAAAGAAAGTAAAATTAAGATAATGACATAAGCAGTGAAAGGATTGATAGAATTAAGTAATAAATTATGTGCCAACAAGGAACATGTGTACCTACTTTCTTTTGAGTGTATAGATATGCTTAGTATTCTATTAGTTTTATGTGACTATCTCTCACCTAGAAGTTACTAATAGAAATAGATCATTAAATTACATTTCCTTAAAAGTTGCATTGCAACCTAAACTATTTTACTAGCCAACCGGTCAATCTGAGTGCACTTAAGTTGCAAGATCACTGCTCTCTCGAGTCTTAATTTCACATGCAACAAATTTTAAAATAGCTTATTGTTATTTAAGTTATGTCAATAAAGCAAATGAGATATTACACATTACATGAAAATAAAAATAATTTTATCATAAAACAAATTTTTCTATGCATGTCACTACTTCATATTAAAAGAAAAGAGTAAAGAACACTACATATGAAGCGTGGATAAAACACAACAGAAAAATTTATTTAAATCAAAGAAAATCTACCTTACAACAATTAGAAGATAATGGAGAACACAATACTTAGCTTTTTTACTTTAAAAGAAAGATGAAAAATCTCTCCACCAAAGTCTCCTGCTGATCCATACGCCACTCATACTTTCTTATTCATATCTCTCAAAATCCCTCATCAATCTCTCCAGAAAATGGAGAAATCTATATCTCCATAGAATCACGCTAAACTTACTAAAAACTCCTCCTAAAAGTGCACTCTAATTACTTCCTAACTACTTTTCATGAGAGGCGTCAACCCCCCTATTTAAAAAGATATAAAAAATTCTTCTTTCTCCAAGAGACACATCTCTTCATCCAAAAGACACACCCTTTCACTTCAAAAGAGACACATCTCTTCATCCAAGAGACTTTCCAAGTGTCTAGATTCATTTAACCACTCCCTGGGGGCGTGCAAGCCATCCAGAAGCTTTCAGAACATCTCAGAATGGTCTGGAATCGCCCAAAAGCTATTTAGAAACTGTCTCGGATGCTATGGCACTAGATTCGACACTATAGCACATGTTATAGTCATGTCTGGTGCTATAACACCAAAATTTGATGTTATAGCTCGAAAATCAGGTGCTATAGCGCCAACCTATGGCAAGCACAACTGTTTTGCTCCGTTTTGACTTGGTTTCGCCTCATTTCAGCTCTGGTTTGCTCTTAGTATTATACATACAAGATAAATATGAATATAATCTTTATATAAAGTGCAATTTCATTCAAAAACATGTGCTAAATATATAGAAAATTAAGCATAGAAATTCATATCAAAATGCGTCATATCAGAATTTTCTTCCTTGCTCAATTTGGCTCCAAATTACACCATTTTTGCTTCATTTTCACTTAAACTCCATTCCTTGTACATGAAACCATAAACATGCAAAGTAAATTCCCTTAAAGTGCAATATCATAAAAAATGTGCATAAAATGAACCTTAAATGTATATTAAAAACAAGTAATGTTAAGGAGGATCAGTTGCATGAGCAACAATAAGTTCTAGGTCTCAATGTCTGACATCTCTTGCTAGAATCATATGATGAAGCTTCTAAAGCTCTCTGTGGGTTCCTAAAAAATCTTTAGAAGAGCTTGAAAATACTTTTAATGCCTTTTATGCACCACTGAATTGGGTTATGAACGTGCCTTTAAACTCTCTAAAAGAGGTGATGACTCTTGTAAGATATTGAATGACTCAATGCCAACTCTTTCAATGTCATAAAGAACAAAAAATATCGAAGGGCATTATTATCCTTAATAAACATACATCTGAAGAAAAAAAACACTATTAGACAGGTCTGACTTCCTTTTATAAGATTTTAAAGAAGAAATCTTAAACTTCTTTGATGCATTAGCTTCTACAATCTCTCTTGAGAATGAATTCTTCAATTGTCTTATTCTTTTCCTTCAGACTCCTTTGTCTAAAGATTTAGAAGCTCTTTGAGATGTAGGTCTGGTTATTTTCTTCTTCTTCTTATTCTTTTTATAACCTCGAACCAAGGGTCTGTCTATGTCCCGCCCTTAGTAGATTCTGCCTAGGTTGCTCTTGTCTCAGTAGTTCATATCTTAATATCCCTCATCTATGTACCACTAAGGCCAATGATCCCATTTGAGTCTTGGGCTGATCTTTAGAACAAAATATGGTGGTTTCTTGCCATAAATCTTGTATAACTTTCAAGATATATTCTCTCAGCTCATTGTTTTATTGTGTCATGAAATCTTTGCTATAATCCATCAATTTTTTTTTCTTTCTTAAGATGGAAAGAACCGCTCGTTGGATTTAAGTATGGACTCCACAGTCACTGCACCATTCATGACATTGAAATAATTTTTAGAACATAGAGTCTCATATTGTTTGTGAGTTCATATAATTTGATAAAGAACTTGTCTTTGAGAGGAAAGTGTAATAATAGGTGGTTAGAAGAGCTTTGTTTTTCTCTTAATGAGAGAAAGAGGGAGAGAGAAACAGTAAAACCCTTTTTGAGGTCCGGTCCCCAACAAGGGAGAGCCTCTGAAAAGCTCCTTTGACCTCCATTTATACATGAGAGAAAAAAATATAAAATTATATTCCATAAGATACAATGCTTATTCGTAGTGTCTTGGTAAAAAGATTAAAATGCATATGTCAGGTGACGCCATAGTGAGGATTACACATGTCAATTTGGGTAATGATTGTCTTTTCTGGTGGTTTAGGTTGATTCATTCATTTTGGTAGGTGAGTTCGTTCACTTTAGTAGGTGGGCTCAGTTTGGCCACTTTGACAGTGGTCTCAGTTAAACCACTTAGGCAGGTGGGCTTAGTTCAACAACTTTGGTTGGAGATCTCAATTCAACTACTTCGGCGGGTGGACCAAGCTAAAGAATAAATTCATCTTCAGGTATGGGCCTTTAAAGCCCATAAGGTTCTCTGAGAAGTATTCCTTAAAAAGAATTGTTAGGGTACATGACCGTATTTGAGCATATAGTAATATCTGCACATTTCCCTTAAATATGGGAAATAACACAAACATAACACAATACACATACAATGAAACCATTTTAATAAAGCCATGCTTATGATTTATTATTTGTGTAATTCTTTTTATGTAAAAACTATAATATCACATTCAAAAATTCATATATTTATTTGTATGTGTGCTAGACCTTCTTATAAAATAGATCTTTTAATATATCATTATACTAATTGTTGAATCCTCTTTTGTCTACGAGTCACACCCAGAAAATAGAGTATAAGACGGGAGTGAGGGAGAGAGATAAAGAGAGGAATACACAATAATGGACAGTAATTTGAAAGACGTGAGTATCATTTTATTCATATAATAATCCCCAATTTATAGAGAAATGTGATACAATATTTGAAGTTATATTTATACTCCTATTTTAACGGGTACTGTATAGGGTATATATGTTTCAAATATGTGGGCCCGGAGCCTGACTGCTCTAAAGCTTGATTGACTGGATGGTAAAGCCAATAATAGATGTTGACAATCAGTTAAGCTAGAAAGGCCAGCCGATCGGCCTACTTCGGAAGACTGTTGGTCAGCTATGCTTGGTGCTACCGGTTGACTAGACTTTTACTGGCAAATGGTCGACAAGTTTGACTTGGTCGAGTAGTGTCGATCGGTTAGTCAAGCTTGGCCATAGAATATTGATCCCTGACAAGAAGCTCATGTTGGCAGGGAAGAGCTAGACTATTAGGCAAATGATGAATTACTGTAACCTGATAGGTGACAACTCTTATACGAAAGGATTTTAAGGGATAACCCTATATAACTCTTATACGAAAGGATTTTAAGGGATAACCCTAGATAAAAAAAGAAAACAAGAATGCTAGTGAATTTTTATGTGCTTACATATCTAACACCTAAACTTTATATATAAAAAAAAGTTTAGATTTTGATATGTAAATATATAGGAATTAATTGATATGTATGCAAATCTTTCAAGATTGTGTACAAGAAATATATATATATATATATATATATATATATACAAAACTCATATACACACATACATTCATACATTATTATATATTCGATCTTGGTAACTTTTAAAAACCCTATTCGTCAGTATAAAAACGTCGTCCCCGTTGCAGCCCTTCCTAAAACCCTAGGCCGCTCCTGATTCCCTGGTAACCAAACTTTCGTATGGCGATTTTGAACCGCCTAAGCCGAGCTGCCGCCCTCGCGTCGTCAATCCTTAAAGACTACTCTTCCTCCGCGATCCGACCTTCCCGTTTTCCTCTTTCAAATCCTCGTTTCCTTACAGCGTCCCTTTTAGGAAACTCTAGCTTCCGAATTCCCGCGCAGGGCCCTTCGTCGTCCTTCCACTCTTCGATTCCATGCTCTATCAGGCGGGTTGATTCTGACCAGGGTAGTAAAATACCAGAGGATGAAATCCTGTTCGAGGGATGCGATTACAATCATTGGCTTATCACCATGGACTTTCCCAAGGACCCGAAGCCCTCTCCCGAGGAGATGGTTGAGACCTACGTCCAAACTCTGGCTAAGGTCGTCGGCAGGTAATTTTTCATAGTTTCATATAAATGGCATACGACCGTGCTGTACTCCAATATCATTATGGCAGCTTGTTCATGATCTCCGGGACATATTGGTTGGAATTTTCATGAGATTCATTTTTTTTTTTGGTGGGTTTTCTTTTAAAGTTCTTGGGGGAGTTGGAGGTTTGGATAATCTTGTTCTAGCAATTTTATATATAAGTTACATTTTTCTCTTCTTAACTATGTATTTTTTTTTTTTTTTTTTTTTTTTTAGACCACATTGAGGCTGTGTTTGGCTGCAACTTAGATTTTCATTAAGTAGGATATATCAAAGCCGATAAATTTGGATTTATATTCAACAACAGAGTTTGGTTGCGAGACGGAATAAATCCGCATCGTAATCTAATTTAATAAATCCGTATTTACACGATCAAGTAGATGGAACATGAGGAAACACAGGCAAAACACAAGAAAATTTGATTTAACAGAATGTCGGATTTAATGTTCAGTTTTATGGCGTTTGGCTGGATTTAAGCTAAATCTATCACTAAATCCTATTAATAGTACGCCTGAGTTAACCCTTAATAATGAGCTGTAGTTCTCTTTCTTGTAACTAAAACTTTAAGAGGGTTGTCGTTATAAGGAAAATTTATTTTTTTATTGGGGCGTTAACAAACATAACATTCAAATCTTACTTATTTACATATCTAACAGCTGAACTTTACATTTTATATTTATAGCACCCAAATCTTTCACATCACCTAAAACATATCACCCTTCTGAAAAAAATGGTGAAATACACCTTTTTACGCATAGATAAGGTGGTATGTTCGTAAATGTTGATGTTAGATGTTATATATGGGGGGAGATGTATTTTAAGATCTTGAGCAGGCTTATGATAGATTGCCATAAGAATTGATTTAGTGTGTATTAAGGATAAAGGCATTTAATCTTGGTAAGAGATGCTTTGGTAAATGCTTTCTATGAAAGAATTTTCTTTTCTATGTGACATTTATTGAAATATTTGGAAAGGTAGACGAATAGAGAATGTGTTAAAAATTAAACGCCAAAGATTAATCTATTCAATATTTAAATACTATTAAAAATAAATGCCAAAGAATAAATAGAATCGACATTAGGATTTTGTGTGTCTTATAACTTAATTAAATACTCTCTGAAATTAAAGTGATATCCTAGTGAGATAGGTTTAGTTTTATAGATTTTTGTATAGAGACACATTGATATGGATGAGAATATAACATCTAAAGCTTTATATGGTTGATTAAACGGATGTTTCACATATGTATTATGTGATAAGATAATTTCTTAGAAGCTTAAACATGAATTTTAAAAATGGAAGTTCAACCTCCTATGTTTTTTGAATTTGAGTGTTGGGCGAAAAAAATGTGGCTGATAGACAAGTTCGGCATGGTGAAATATGAAATATTAAGGTAAATGTGTGTTTTAACTAGGATAGATTGATGAATGGACATACTAGAGGGACAATGAAACAAACATTCATTGAAGATTAAATTAAGCTAGTTTGAACCTGTACAGTCAAAGGTAAAGTTATCCTCATACAATATATATATTAAATTAGCTATAAAGGATTAGCTATGAGATGTGTCCAAAAATTATATAGATCGAAGTTTGAGTGTGATAGATGGTGGAGACAACTTTGAAATCTCATGCCTTATTTGTTTATTCTTGACATTCCCACTTGACACATCCACATCAAGCAAATTAAGTGGTTTCGGTCTGATTTGCGGCATCAAAGGAAAAAAAAAAAACTTTTTTCTTTGAAGGAAGGTCTTATGTGTAGCATTCTACAAGCTGAGTTTTGATACTATCCTTCCACAACGAAACTTTTTCAACCAATTTGAGGCGTATGCCTTATCTAAGCTGCACAGAAGTCTCATTGAGAAAGGGTAGTGCCAAGAATGTTTCAATATGCATCATCCGAGCTGTACAAAATATTTTTTAACCATATAAGACTAGATAGATTCCAAGTGGAGCTCTTTTATGGTTTCTTTTTAGAAGGGATTTAACTCATGTCTTTTAGTTTAACATTAATAAACAAGCCATGCAATTCAATTTTTTATTTAATTCATTATACTTATTGTTCAAAATTTTGCAATTTGAGGCACGCCTCAGTGTAAATCCGAAGGAAAACGCTTCGGGGTGTATGCCTTGAGCAGCTCAGATGAGGCATACACCACAAATTGGTTAAGGCATGCCTTGAGGCGCACCTTGCCTTAATTCCGTTGAGACGTTTGTTTCTTAGTTTTTTTCTTATATTAGATGGTTCTAATATGATCTGAAGTCGCACTCTTCCCTGTCACCAATTAGGCTTCTCATAGTTGTCACCTGTTACTATTGTTGACTCTTTCGCCACTGCCGCTGCCTATGCCGCCATCGACGCCGCTTGTCACTATTGTCACCTGCTGCTGCCACAACCGCCTACTGCTCCATATTTTGATTAGTTATTTTATTCATCTTTAGATCTATTAATGTTATTATGTTGGCTAAACAATAGGAGTGAGAGAAGTGGATTGTATTAAACTCATCTTATGTCTTCCTTTGATATTTTATATTACTTCTTTTTAATATTTGATCAATTAATGTTTATATTATATTTTTCTTTTTGTACAAGTTGTTACATGATATTTTATGATTTATGTAATTTGTTATTTTATATAAATGTAATTTATTATTCTTTTAATGCTATAAGGTTAATGTTACTTTCTTTAATATAACTGTGAGTTATGCTGCTGATATATTATCTTTTGTCCACTTATTTTGATTCGCGGCTTATGCTGCAGGCTGCCTTGAAGCTTAGGCCTCGCCTCACGAATGAAAAATTCCTCCGTACTTTATTGCAAAATTTTAAACATTGATCATGTTGTAGCTTAGATAATAGATGAAATGATCAAGATGCTCTGCTTTCCGTGCTTTCAAGATGCTCACAAATTTAGAAGAGTGATTCCAAACTCAAGATAAATTTTAAAATTGAGTCTAATAAACATCGGTAGGTGCTACCAATTTAAACTACAAGCGTTTAAAGATATTTATACGCAATAATGAAAATCTAAACTGTCATGCTCCTTTAGCCAGAGTTGCTAAAATTACCAATAATAGAGATTAATTTTTTTACTGTCACTTCCGTCATCCTTAAATCCGTTTAATAGAGAATTATTTTTTCTTGAAAGAGAAAATTGAATGCCTGATTTATCATTACTTAGATCAATATTTGAAGTATCTATTGTAGATTCTTAGATTTAAAACAAGTGGGGTCAATGCTTTGAATATGATTGTTCATTTATTTCTTTTCTTTACCGATGAATAAAACCTTGTATTCATCATATCAAGGAATGAACTCATTCTAATGGGGTGGTTGGCTGCACCTAGGATTTATAAATCCAGGTGTTGTTAAAATCAGAATTTGTTTGGTATGATTTGCACCTAGGATTAAGTTATATCCACTTTAATTCATAAGAAGTATTTGGCATTTTATTTCAGGATTTAACAATTTACATTAAAAATAAGATTTAATTACGTTTGTTCCAGAAAGTGCAATTGATAAAGCCTGCGTAGTAAATCCACGAATATGTGGATTCAATACTTGCATTAGCAGGACACAATGCTAGAGGTAAGGAACCAATCACCGAAAATCCGAAGTGTGCTGTACGAATTCCTAATTTGGGAAGCAAGACAACAAGAGGTTGGATGTAGCTGTTTTCCTTTAGTTTTTAGATATGTAAATACATAGGAATTATGTGGCATGTATGTAATATCTTCCTTATTTCAAAAGTACCACTATCTTTATTTCCTCATATAGTCCACAGCTTCTAACGTCAACAAGCGAAAAAAAATTTTTAAGAGGGCTTGCTTCAAATCTGTATAATAATTTTGGCTTGAGCTTCCTTTAATGGCTTATTTTATGCACTATAAGTGGGCACAAAGAAGTAATAAATTGAAGGATATCCAGAAGGAGGCAGAAGAAGCTAATGGTTTCGAGCTTGGGGACATGATTCCTCTAAGAGGTTTTTCATTCAAGAAATACTTTTTTTTTTAAATTTATTTACTCTTATTCTTCCCCCAACCTGTGATTCTTCACTTTCTCAGCTTGAAAGTGCAATTTTCATGGTATTTTTTAGTGTCGTGTCAGAAACACAAATATAAACCCTAACAGTGGACACCTTCTCCCCCAAGTGGTAGTCCTAGAGCCTAGGTTGCATACCAAGTGCCAATGCATCCAAATGTGGGCCTGTGCAACAAGCGAAGAGCTAACGTTTTCCCTTTGATTTTCTCATGTGCGACAAGCGACGAGGGAAGAGACGAGGCACACACATTCATCCTCTTTAAATCCCTTAAATCCACCTCTCGATTGAATTTAGTAAATCTGGGATTTACGTCATAACAAAGGAAAAAATGAATTTAGAGGCTTTGTAAGATTTAGTTCCCCTGAAATTTGCATTTGGTGGATTTACGTTATATCCACATTGCTTTCCTATTAAAACAGGAGCTAGCAGTCACCCTCTAAAGAAGATATTATGACATTTGCTATATTAGTAGTTATTTTCTAATTTTAGTTGTGTTTTTTTACTTCAAGAAGAAAAGTGATTGCTTGTCTTATCAAGGACACGTAGGCCAATATTTGAAGAATCAAACTACAAATCCTCAGTCTCAAAATATGGAGGATTAGTGCTCTTATAGTCAGAATTTGGTCGAATGGGATTGTTGGTTGATATTATATCCTCAATGATGAATTGAACAAATTATAGGGTTACCTTATCAAATAATGAAATCACTCGAAAGAAGAGATAAGTCCCTTATTACAACCAAGGAGTTATCTTTAGAATTTGGGAAACCATCATGGTTTTATATCTACTTTTATGTGATCCATTTCGATCTTGTTGTAAAAGAAAAGGATTCATTAGGAGGGCTCATTGATTCATGAGACCCAATTGGAGAGGTATCTCATATTCGAAAGTCATTGGGGTAACTCATAATGTTTTAAGCCGTAGAGGGCACTAAATGTAGAATATGGTTCCCCCACTAAAGTACTTAGGAAGGCAAGTGAGTAATCATGGTTGCTATATTTTCAAAAGTTGTTTAAGGACTCCTGATGAGTGAACCTCATAGGCTTCTACTATTGGGTAGAGTCTTTATTAGACGTCTATATAACAATCCATCTTTTCCTTAGCCTCAAGAGTGGAGGTGAGTAAATATTGTTTATGAAGACTGCCCAACTTCATGAGAAAGCACAAGAAAATTATATCTCCTTCAAGTCTACAAAGGCTTTTTAGCTTTTTCAAATGTTGCGTCACTTATACCTCCATTTGCAATTTTATCGATCATAGCATTTGCATTTTAACAAATAACTTAATTGGCTATTCTAGCAGGCACAACACTGACATGGTTGTCTTGACATATGAAACTTGCATAGTCATTAAGGCTTCATCGATTTCAGTAAGCTCTTGACTTTATAAAGGGCTAGGGGCAATCAAGGAAATTACTTTTTTTTCAAAGGGTATTGAGAACTTTAAGATGGATGCTCTCGACTTGAGTTTGTTAATGTCATGCCATAAAGTTGGTTTGTGATCCATTGTAAACTTTGATTTTGAGGGGCATGTCAATGTCAATGTTTAAAAAGTGTTATTATTTAAAGGGGATCTTGACCAAATTGTTTTTTTTTTCTAAAATGTATCAAATACAATAAAAATTGATGAATTTCTAAGTCTTAATAATATTAATTAGGGACTATATGCTGATATCTTCATACAATCTTTGCAATCCTTGATTGAACTTTTACTCTTTTGGTGGGTGGGACATGGATTTTAAAACAGTTAGATTAATTCTAAGAGGATTTAATTTTTTTGATTTTGCCAATTCATATGCTTCTATATTATGACTTTTTAAGAATCCAATTATTCCTTAGGGAGTTATTTGGTTTGGTAAAAAAGTAATGCGATGTAAAATCAATGTATTGAATTTAAAATACTTTAGTGTTTTTGATTTAGTGTAAAAATAAATGTGGTACTTCATATTTTCTTATTTAGTTTGAAATAAATAAAAAATAATATAAAATATGGGGTCTATAATGACGGGCATGAGGCTGTCAGCCAGTGGAGGCATTGGGCAGGCAAGTGAGCGGGTAGCGGCAGCTAACTGCGTGCGGCAACGATGGACAACAATAGTGGATGACAACAACAGAAGATGGCAGCGACAGGCAAAGGTCGACGACTGAGAACATTGTACATCAAAGTGTGTATTTGGAATTCACACAAATCAAATGCATTCTAAATACATCGAAAATGAACTAAAAAATGAATTCCAATTGGAAGATTCCAACCAAACACCTGAATTTCCAGAAACCTTGCAAAAAGAATGCAATGCACTCCTTTTGTAGCCGACCAACCAACCCATAGTGAAATCGACTTGATTGCTTTTATAAAGATTGCGATTGTCGAGCACCACTCTGGCACTATCAATCACGTGTGATGGTTGCCGACTAGTCGTTGATCAAATTTCTCTTCTAGATCAAGATCCAATGGGTGTGATCAATCTCAAAGAGATGCAACCCTCCAATTTCAACAAACTGACAAATTTCAGATTGGGCCTTTACGTGCTCTAATGTACTCCATAATTAGATCAAAGTTTTCAATGCTAATTTTAACCACTGATCCACAAAGATCAACAATTCTTGAAGGAATGCATCACGCTAAGAACATTAAACTATGATACAAAGGCTTAGCCCACTCAAGCAACGATGTAAAATTCAAATTCATCTACTAAGTGGTGGGGTAAGTACATAACTTGATTACAAAATTGGAACTTTAACAAAATTATATCATCTAGATAGTATAAAAAAACCATAAAACTCAAACACCTGAGTTTACAATCACCACAATATTGCTTGAACAGACTTTGTTTAGAACAAACTTAGATTGAATTTGCAAATAGAAGCCATTGGCTTGCCATCAAGTGTACAACATGCGAGGGAGTTTCTGCTAAAATCCTAAAATTATGACGTTCAAACTTGCCATTATCATTTTGTACGTAATTTCTTTTGTGGGTGAAATTTGGGTTGAACTGGTAGCACATAAGTTAACTTCTTAACTTCCAAGAATGCACAATGTACAAACGGAGAATCAGCCAAAACTTGATACCTGAATTCACATACTCAATAAATACTATGTAATAGAAGAACATGATTGATAATTAAATGCATATTTTATATAACTTCAATAAGTCGGTATGGTATATTATTTCATCGGTTGGGGTGTAAAAAGTCACTAATTAGTTTATCATCACTGAAAAAAAGAATGCGATGATGATTGTGAAGACAAAACTAGGCGGGATGGGTTAAGAAAATTGTATTGTATGGGTGGTGGGAGAAACATTTATTGATGATTAAATAGTTGAATTTAATTAAGATGGTGATAAGAAAAAATAATTGGTTGGCTCGTGTATATGCTCAATTTAGGGAAGAGGATGCACCAATAATATGCATAAATAAATTTAACGTTGAATGATTAAGAAGGAAATGGTCACAACAAAGGATGTGGTAGAAATTTTAAAAAAAATTGGCACAGAAGAAGTTTGAGACCACATACACTCTACAAGAGCAGATAGAGTATGGGAGTTCTTTAAAGTAAACCTAATGTATATTTTTGTAACATGATTCAAGTTGGTTATGTTTTATTTTCTAATTTTTTACAATATAAACATTTGCTTTAACTTATTTAACATATATGCTTAAGTTTTGATTATTGAATTATGATACTTCTGAAAGTTTTTATATTATGTTACTGCCCTTCCATAAACAATGCTTGTTGAAAGGTGGACAGTTAAGTTATTAAAAGATGCCATGTTATTCTCATGTTAGTATAGTACTGCTCTGAAATGTTTCACAGGAAAATTATGTTGCATTGTTGTAATACAGTAAATAAATACTAATCAGTAGTAATTCTTATTATTAACAATGCTTGGTTATAGCGTGGAGGAGGCAAAAAAGAGAATGTATGCCTGTAGTACGACTACTTACAATGGTTTTCAAGCCGTAATGACTGAGGAGATGTCTGAGAAGTTTAGAGGTGAGTGTGCTTCGAACTAATTTTTTTATTGGGGGCGTTTACATACATAGCAAACAATTTTTATGAATTTACATTTCTCATGCGTAAACTTTAATATTTACAGCCATAGCCTTCGGATCTTTAATATTGCATAAAAAATAGTACTATTGCCAAGTGAAATACTCCGTTTCATGGAAAGGTTTGAAGCACCAAATTGCTATGCATGTAAATATGAAAGTTTAGGTATGAGATACCTAGATACATAACAATTATTTGTCATGTATGTAAATTTCCCTTTTTTATTTTAATCTTCTTACTTTGGTATGAGGGTTGGCAGGCCCATCCTATTCTAATAAATTAGCTGTGATGATAGATACACTCTTACCAGCAATGCATAATTTTCTTTTCTTCCTGTAAATGGATTTATTGGCCTTGCCTGAATTTTTTTGTAGTTTTCTCATGATTTTTTTGCTTTTAAATTCAGGCCTGCCTGGAGTTGTTTTCATTCTGCCTGATTCCTATATTGATCCAGTGAACAAGCAGTATGGAGGTTTGCTGTTCTAAATTTGCTTCCCTATTACAATTTCAATGTGATTCTATGAAACATGGATGCCATTTTACTTAAGAAAATTCTACTATACACCATGTAAAACAAAGGGAAATTTACATACGTAGCACACTATTCTTAGGTATTTACATTGTTCAGATACAAACTTTTTTATTGTGCCTTAAACCTATGCATGAAAATGTATTTTTCACTTTTTAAAAGCAGTAATAGTGCTATTTTTGACGTGGGACTAAAGATTTGAATGCTATGCATGTAAATATGAAAGTTTAGGTGTGACATATGTAAATACCTAAGAATTATGTGCTGATGTAAATGCCCCCAAAAACAAATTTATCTACATTTTTTTATATGCAGGGGATAAGTATGATAATGGAGTTATTACTCCAAGGCCCCCACCTATTCAATATGGAAGGCAAGGGAGATACGGTGATAGGAATAGGAGATACGAACAACCAAGATATGAGAGGCCAAGATTTTCATCACCAATGCAAGGAAGAGATTCGCCACCTCAAAACGATCATCCTCAAACGTATCAAGGAAACCCACCTAACGAATATCAAGGTTCGACACAAGGATACGGACGAAATTATACTCCACAACAAAACTTCGTTCCACACGGACAAGATGGAACGAATTGTGGTCCGCCTGGTGACATCCAGCATGGATACTCATCGATGCAGCAAGGTTATCCACAAAGGCCGGAAGGCCCCCAACAAGGATATGGAAGAAACTATGGCTCGCCACAAAATTACGGCCCACCACCACAAAATTATGGCGCACCTCAAAACTATGGCCCACCGCAAAACTATGGCCCACCGCAAAACTATGGCCCGCCACAAAACTATGGTCCACCTCAGCAAGATGGAGGGAGCTATGGTCGACTTGGCGACGCGCAGCGAGGATACTCCCCAATGCAACATGGAAATTCACAGATGCAACCAGGAAATCAACAATATTCGCGCAATGTTCCGACGCAAGACGGAGGTTATGCTCCGCAGCAGAACTATGGTCCATCTGGAGATAGAGAACGTGAATAAGGTGGAGACTTGGCTCCAACTGGAGAGTTAGGAGTTCTCACGAACACGACCGCTAATTACTGGTTAAATCAAGATAAATTTCAATTTAATGTGCCATGTAATTTATATATTTAGGATTTTAAGTCTTCTTATTTCAGCGTGAGTCTGTGTTGAGTTATATTTGGAACGGGAACTACAGTTTTGAGACAAGATGAGCTTGAATTGTCTGTTGGTTTTGTGATTTTTTGATATTTCTCTTTATCGAGTATTATGAAAAGTGAGTGGTATAATTTATGGTTATCATTTTTCTGGATTAACATATCAATGGACTAATTTGGCACTTTCAAAGAAAATTCTACAAAGGAGTCCATTATATGATATCACTCCCATTACACTGGCTTTTGATGTCTTTAAGTACTGTAATTATTCATTTAGCAATTAAAATATGTATGGGATGGATCGTGCATTTACATATGGTTTTCATCCATTCTGCTTCTCTTCTACTGATGCAATAGTAGGTTCTGATTTCAGGAAGGTGTTTATGGGACTTTTTATGTTCGTGTACTGATTGGAGCCTGGAAGTGCTGCTTGCTTGGTGAAGGTATCTGGGTCGGCATCTATTGTTTTTTTATTTTGTCATCATTTTGATTAGTTTCAATTTTTCCTCACATTTTGACTTTTTTTTTTTTTTTGGAAAGATTTACATCCCTGCCACTCAATTCATATGTAACATGTAAACTTCAATTGTTACGCGTAGATATCATCTTAGGAAAATGAACCAAAAAAAAGGGAGGTGGTGTGGTGAGAAATTAATTTAACTTAATAGCATACGTATTCCTATTAGGGTTTTCAAAACGGCTCGCCGCAAACAACTCATGTTCAGCTCGATAAGAAGCTTGTGTTTCACTAAGTTAACGAGCCAAACACAAATATTTTTCGTGCTCGACCGAACAAGAATAAAGATATGTTCGTTTGTGCTCAACTTCTTTTGGCTATATATATATATATATATATTGATTAGTAGCATTTTTTAAAAAAAATTAATTGACTACAAGTACAAAATTTTAAAATCAATTAAAATTATTAATTAAAAAAAATAAAAATACATTATATTATATTTAAATGATATTCTAATATAAATAAAAAATTTAAATCTTAACCCGACCATTAACATACTACAATGTGTGATTAGAGTTGTCAAAATGACTTTTTGTTCGTAAACAATTCGTGTTAAATTCACTAAACAAAAATTTCGAACACGAACATACTTTTGTGTGTCGAAATGTAAGTGATATTTTTTAATGTACTAAACAGAAGCTAAGCTTGAGCTCACCCGCCTTCAACTTTTTTTAAACCATAATTCCAACATAACAGTTCCAACAAAAGTGCTCTCGCTCTTCCTCGATTACAAACACAGCAAAACCTTTCCTTCGTTCCCCCAACTCGCTTCCAAATAACCGCAACAGAGATGAAAATGCCTCGCCCCAAATCTAGCTGCTGCTACACTCTGCCTTCTTCTGTTCTTTCCTCTCTCGTTCCCGAACCCTAAAACCGCAAAGCTTTCTTTATTCAAACTCCACTCCTTTCGACCACACCAAGGCCGCAGAAACTCCTGATTTCGTCCTCTTCGTCGCACGAACCTGCTGAAGCCAAAGCCCATCGATTCCCTGTTCATGATTCCATCGTTTCTCCCTGATCCGACACCCTCATCTCCCGAAACTTCGAAATGTCTTGCTCGAGCGTCGGAATCAAACTCCCTTGTTTAAGCATGGAAATTGAACTCCAGCCTACTTCCTTCTCCCTGCGTTGATGGCCTTGTCGTTCTTTACTGTTCAAGCCACAATGTTCCCTATGTCCCAAACCCCGCATCGCCGCCTCCTCAACCAGTCGAAACCTGATCAAGCGTTCTTGCCCTAACCCTAAACCGAAGTAGTCGTCCGCCCTTCCTCCCTGTGTCACATGCGAGCCATGCACGACTCCTTTGTCTTGCACCGAAACCTCTGTGTGACCCCCTATTTCCTCCTCCGGTCTGCCCTAGATGGAGCCGCTCATGAGTTTCCCTACCCCTTTGTCCGCCTCACTGCCGCTTTGCCGAGCCTCGTACCAAGGTGTTCTGCTTCCCTCAGTTTGGGAACATACGACGTCTGCAGAGTTGCATAGTCTGTGACATGCTTATTTGTAGCCCATGTAACTTTTTCTATAATCTACCTATATATAAAAACATAAGCGTGGAACTTACTAGAAGGTACAGGTAGGTTATAGAGGTTATAAAGCGGTTATAACCTCCAAATATACTTCATGTAACCTATTTTCAGGTTACAGACGTACGCAGCTGCGTACGTCTTATGTACACAAATTTTTTCCCTCAATTTGAGAGCATTGCTGATCTTCTTTTCCCATTTGAGTCCAGCCCGATCCTGAAACCCTACCATAGCAACATCTACCAGAACCAATCCCACTTCACTTAACCGATTGAAAATGGTGATTCAACCCTTTTTTCTCTAATTTACTATTTGTGTAGTTTATATTGTAAAAGAAAAATTAGGAGAAACGACCAATCTTGTATTTTTTATTTTATTGTTCATTGTTATTGCTTCAACAATATCTCGTCGTCTTCGATGGCGACGCTTGGCTTGAGAAGGGATAAAATGGGACAATAAGGTAATTTTCAAAATATCAGTGCGATGAAGCTCATTTGTCTTGGATATTGATTATCATTCAAGGAAATTGTCGATTTATCTGGAAATTTTAAAAAAAAAATTCAAGAGATTTAGGTAGCTATCCTGGGAAATATGAGTACTTGTTCAGTGAATGAAGTAACTTTAGGGACATTATAGTACCTATTCGGGAAAATTTGTGCTTGTGATATGACCTTTTGCATGTATATTGAAGGCTAATAGTGCCTTATAAACTGAGTTAGATACTTTGTTTCAATGCCTTATAAACTGAATTAGATACTTTGTTTCAATCCCTGGCCACGTTGTCCTACGACATGGACCAGTCTTATAGGTAACTGAGCATGTTGTCATTCACTAACGGGGTTGTTGTTGGGAGGTAACTAAATTTTCAGATGGTTTGGACTTCGAAATAACTTAATATCTTTGGACTATTTAAATTTAAAATGACTCACTTTGGGGGCATGGGTAGCTCCCTACACATTGGAGTCTCAATTTCACATAGTGAGTATTTGAATTTTTAAAATTTAGGCTCTTAGGACTTAAAAATATTAGGACTTCATTTTTTCAAACTTTTGGCTCCTAAGGATTTGAAAATTAATTTAAATTGAGTTTTTAAATTTAGGTTCCTAGGATTTAGATATTTGTTTGAAATTGATTTTTTTTTTTTAACTTAAGCCACTAGAGTTGAAATTATTTCAAATTTAGGCTAATAAAGACTTAAAATGATTTAAAGTATGTATTAAGCTAGCATACAACATGAATTATAAGGCTTGTAAGATTAGGTTAAATATGGAACATTATGTTACACCATCGAATTCACAATATCACATACTAACAAAGAGAAGGTGATTCCTTTTAAAGCATAAAAATGAATTTCTTTGTGATTCAAAATTATAATATTACAAAAATTACAAAATTTGAATGATTTCGAGGTTTATGCAAACTCCGAGATTTTTTCTTATGTTAAATGCAATGTTTTGAAAATCTTTGTGAGTATTTTTAATGCTTATGCAAATAATAAGTTGTATACTCGGGAGCTATAAATACTTCAAAATGTTTAATAAAGTAAGTTAACTATACATTATTTCAAAATCTTGCATGTGTTTCTTAAAGTAAATTTCGTATCAAAATCATAGTTTAAAAGATCGTGCAAATCCTTAAAAGCTAGTAAAATCTTTTAAAACATTCAAATATATGAAATGAAATACTCGCATGGACTCAACCAAATTGATTAATGCCTAAACTCAATTGATTTGAGAATGCCGCTAAGGATTAATACTAAACTTGCACTCTAATAGTTCATATTAAAAAAAAATAAAAAATTCAATCTGGTCTTCTTGTCTAGAGGACGGTGTTGTAAGTCTCACCCAACCAGTCTGATTTTTCTTCTATTAAGGACTAGGGTTGAAAAGTTTATGTAAGATTTGATAAAAGTCCAAATCATAATATAAAAATTTTCAAGTCCAAATCATCTAGTTTAATTCTCCTTATTAGGATTGTAGTCGACAATGTTTATATCCTAAAAGACTCAAACTGACAAAACTCAAACGAACTTCAAAAGAAAAAGTTATAAATATTTAAATCCTGGATGATGGTTGTGTTGATAGTGAATCTCAACCAGAGGGGTTGATTTTAAAACAAAAAACTTCAAAGTAACAAATTAAACATTCAAGTAAAATTAATCACTTAAAAATTTAAATCAAATCGCATCCACAGTTTGCAACTATTTATCGAGGGTGAAAATTTTTTTATTTACGGCAGCTCAAAAAAGAGCCATTATCACATATGGTGTATCATTATATTCACACTCATAATAATTTCACACCAGTAAAGATGCGGTCAGATTCCTCTGTTTGCGTGGTTTGACCCAAAGACCCAACAACATAGCTGTTACTATCAGAGCTCTTTGAATGGGTGGTTGCCTCCAAATGAAATGATTAAATTACAGTTACAACTGCAACTCATATGTTCCTGAACAATTTTCTGTCATTTGAGTTGTGAACCATAAGAGTATGTCTGATTGATAAAAAGCTTTCTGTTAGCTAAGATGTTGGGTTTAAAGCAACAAAGTGCTATGTGTGTAAGTATGAAAGTTGTGGTGTGAGGTATGCACATACATAAGAATTGTGTGCTACGTATATAAGCCGAGTTTGCATTTACACATTGTATATATGATACATACTTCTCCTCTAACTCTGCGCTCTTAAATCACTAATATTGCTCTCTTAAATGTCTCATAGATTTTTATCATAGAGGTCTCGTCTAATTATTTTTATTTTTGTTTTCCTCTTCTTTTGACAATTGTAACAATATTTCTGTCTAGAGGATGTTTGAATGGCGGTCTCAGTGCTACGTGTCCGCTTTAAGAAATTGTACTAACAATATTTCTGTCTTGGTTGTACTTTAGTTTAGGGCTGTCAAAAAAGCTCGTTGTTCGCGGACAGCTTGTGTTCGGCTCGTTAAGTAACTCGTGTTCGGTTCGTTGGTTAAGTAAACGAGCAGAACACGAACAAGTTTTTAAAGCTCGAATTACAAATGAGCCGAACACGAATATCTCTTTGTTCGCTCGTGTTCGGCTCGTTT